GTGTGCAGGGGTTTTTGGGGTGTACAAAGGTTTTTTGGGATGTGCAGAGGATTTTGGGGTGTGCGGGATTTTTGGGGTGTGCAGGGGTTTCTGGGGTGTGTAGAGTTTTTTGGGGTGTTCAGGGGGTTTTGGGGGTGTGTGTGGGTTTTTGGGGTGTGTAGGGATTTTTGGGGTGTTTAGGGTTTTTTGGGGTGTGTAGGGGCTTTTTTGGGGTGTGCAGGGGTTTTTGGGGTGTGTGGGGGTTTTTGGGGTGTACAGGGTTTTTTTGGGGTGTACAAAGGTTTTTTGAGGTGTGCAGGGTTTTTTTGGGTGTACAAAGGTTTTTGGGGGTGTACAGGGTTTTTTGGGGTGTTTTGGGGTTTTTTTGGGGTGTACAGGGGTTTTTGGGGTGTCCAAAGTTTTTGAGGTGTGCAGGTGGGTTTTTTGGGGTGTGCAGGGTTTTTGGGGGGTGCAGGGTTTTTTTGGGTTGTGTGGGGTTTTTGGGTTGTGTAGGGGTTTTGGGGTGTGTAGAGGTTTTTGGGGTGTACAAATCTTTTTGGGGTGTGCAGGGTTTTTTGGGTTGTGTAGGGTTTTTGGGGTGTGTAGGGTTTTTTGGGGTGCACAGGGGTTTTTTGAGTGCAGGGTTTTTTTGGGGGGGTTCAGGGGGTTTTTTTGGGGGTGTGTGTGGGGTTTTTGGGTTGTGTAGGGTTTTTTGGGGGTGTACAAAGGTTTTTGGGGTGTACAAAGGTTTTTTGGGTTGTGTAGGGTTTTTGGGGTGTGCAGGGTTTTTTGGGGTGCGCAGGGGTTTTTCGAGTGCAGGTTTTTTTGGGGGAGGGTTCAGGAGGTTTTTGTGGCCCCCCCTGACCCCCCCTCCCCGCAGAGCTCCGAGGACAGTTCCCGCATCTCCATCACGTTTTTCCGGCTGTTCCGGGTGATGCGGCTCGTGAAGCTCCTCTCCAAGGGCGAGGGGATCCGGACCCTGCTCTGGACCTTCGTCAAATCCTTCCAGGTGGGACTGGGGGGGTGGGAAATGGGGAAGGGGGTGTGAGAAACAGAAACCCGGGTGATTCCCAGTCAGAATTTATTACACGACAAAAGCAAATTCAGCGCTGGGTGAGTGGGGAGGGGGTTCAACACCCCCACCCAAAAACCGCAGTCGTTCTACATTTGTTTCCAGCTACTTCATGAATATTCATTACACACGAGCATAAACATTACTCGTTGTTCAGTCAGAGGTCCAGCAGATGTTTTTCTGAACAAGAACGTTCTCTAAAGCATCAATAACACATTGTCGGGTCAGACGTTCAGCAGATGTTTGCTTGTTATCTACACGAAGTTATGAATTTCTAAGAGAGGTGCTGTTATCCAGCTAATCAACAAAATTCCTTCACTGTAAATCTCACACGAGGTAAAAGGGAGGTCACTTGTTTTGTCTCTTTACGGGCCCCAATTAAGTTTTTAGGAGGTAAAAGGGAGGTCACTTGTTTTGTCTCTTTCCGGGGCCCAATTAAGTTTTTACGATTTGTTTTTCTTTCCTCTCTCCGGGTCGTTATTGACCTCACGCCGTTTTCTCTCAATTAGCCCGAATGGTTTTCTCAGTTTATCACGGGGGGGGACACGAGGGGGGGGCACAGCCCCCCCCTGACCCCCCGCTCTGCCCCCCAGGCCCTGCCCTACGTCGCCCTCCTCATCGCCATGATCTTCTTCATCTACGCCGTCATCGGGATGCAGGTGAGGGGGGGGGGCCAGGGGAGCCCCCCGGGTGTGGGGGGGTGTTGGGGGGGTGTGAGGGGGATGGGGGGGTCTGTCCTGCCGGCCCCCAGCCCCCCCTGTGCCCCCCCAGACCTTCGGGAAGGTGGCTCTGCAGGACGGGACCCAGATCAACCGCAACAACAACTTCCAGACCTTCCCCCAGGCCGTGCTGCTGCTCTTCAGGTGGGGACGGGGGGGGGCCAGGGGGGGCTCAGGGGGGTGCTATGGGGGCTGGGGGGGTCCCATGGGGCTTCGGGGGGGTCCTATGGGGGCTCGCGGGGGTCTCATGGGGGGGCTCAGGGGGGTCCTATGGGCGCTGG